GAGATGAACAAAAGAATCTCTTTTTGCCAGGACGCACATCGGCCTGTCAATACAGCGTACAGGGTGTCACTCGTGACGGATTCTTCACGGCGAAATCCTCCTGAAATATCCCCATATAAGAAAAAGAAAGCCCTAGTTCAACGCTCGCCTTCGTCAGAGTCTTCAAAATATGAAGTCATCCGCTATCGTCATCGCGCTCAAACCTTGCGCTCTTTTCTCGTGGCATGGTCTACTAAATGGCCCTTCAGATATGAGCCCAGCAGAGTATGATTTATTCGGTTTGACATTAAGCGTTTGCACTGTGGTAATGCCTGCCGTTGCATAGCGGGTAAATGTGTCGCGCCGAGCTTCGTAACGCTTCTGTTGGTTTTTCGAATTGAACTCTACTTTGGTCAAGCAAAAATTCTCTTGCCTCCTCAGTTGCGTGATCGCTCGGGAGCAGTAAGCACTGAAGTACTGACTCCACAATTCGGTGCTTCCGTACTTTTGAATGGGAAAAATGATATGTTTCACATCCGAGAACCGCATTTTGTGTGGCCACTATCATGCATACAAGTGGAATCCGCGGCGCATTCTAATCAAATATTCCAGTGCTGAGTACGAGCACTATTACGATATCATGGGAAAAGTCTCTTCAAGGGAAGCCATTTCCCTCAAAAGAATACCTGAGGCTGCTTTCTGGCTTCAGATGCCATCTCTGCGCCGCTGCCTGCTTCACAGTGTCGCCGTTTCCATGACAATCAGTTCAGTGGTGCAGGCGAACAGCACGACAGCCTGCACAGTCAGTCGTTACTTGCTTTCGTTTCCTTTCCATCAAGCTCAGAACAGCTTCAACCCAATCGGACCTGATTTTTTACTTAGCTGAGTTCAAGGGTGATTGAAAGAACTGGATGGGCCTTGTGCTCAAATGCCATCAAAAACGCAACCCTGCGAGGCTATTGCCTCTTCTGTTCCAACACAAATCGCTATTCTTTTTAATTTCATACATAATTGGCTTTTCTGGTCCCATGCTACATATTCTACTTAAAATTTGTCATAAATATCTCTCCATGCCTTTTTCGAAGGGTTTTTCCATCGCGTCGCCCAATCTCACAAACAAGCATAGGTAATAATCATAACTTGGTATGGTTGATGAATACACTGGAAAAATAGTATCGCTGGGATTTCGTTTTATTCTACGTACATTTTTGCTTGTTACGGTGAACCGACGAGAGGTAAAACTTAATTTTCGTTTTCCACATCGTTTTTGTTTGTACGGTGACGACAGGGTTAAAATAATTTTTCGGTTTCCACATACGTATAAATAGAGCTTGGTTTTTAACCCATTGCGGACCGCGTGCTGCACATGGTGCAGCACGCCACCACGCGGAGAAGGACAGTAATCTTTGATTTTTCAGCATTTGTTAAGTTACAAACTCATCAGTTTACTTTTTTGGACACAGGATATATCACTTATTGGCATACTGGTTAAATTTTTGATAGGTCATCGGCCACTGATTAAACAGATGACAAAAACCTACGGAGGTGCAATAACTGCGGTCCGCGTTAAATCCTGCAGTGATCTTGTCTTGAAAAAAAAATGTTTAGAATGAAAGCTTATTTAACTAAAAACTAAACTTTCCTAAAATTTTTAATATCTGGATAATCAAAATTAAAACTTTGGCTTGCTCTTCATATATTAAGCTTTCATTTGCTACGAGTTTCGATGTAATTACATAGGTTTAAGAACTTTTTAAATATTTCCAGGTCAAATTGGTAACATTTCATATTTATAGAAGGTTCGCGTGAGTGAACGAATGTTCACGAATCATTCACATGAATGAACTTTCCACGAAGACCTTTCGAAAATATTATCCTTTTTAGTCACAGCTCGTAAGTAGTTTCTCAGAAACTGTGACGATATCATTTCAGCGGATTAACTGTCTTGTGTTCCCGAAGCATTACTATAAACTTTTTACTTCATGTTTACAGGTTTCCCAGAATCATCCGAGTGTAAAAAACTCGTTGCCATGTAAATATTGAATATAATCAGAATCGCGCTAAACTTTTCATTCCATGATACAGTAGGTATCGTACATGTGAGCAGCTCATCTAATTAGCATGTACTGGAGGTTCAAACTCCGTTCGCCGCGGTCACACAGCTTTCATCGTCTATTGTAATTAGGTGGTACTGAACTTGTCTGAGAGAATGTTACAAGGACTTGAACTCTATCTGATCGCGAGTTCTGTCTGAGCCACCCTACTAAAAGCTATTTAATGAGACAGAAGAGGAACTAGAGGGCCGCATCGATTGGGACTTTTTGCCTTCAGCATTTATTACGTTATTGCAAAGACCTTGATACACTCCGATTCTTTTATGATCTTTTTTACATCTACTTGGGAAGTCTGATTCAATTAACGATATGGTCACCACCGGTATCGATTACATTCATCCAATGAAAGGGACGAGTTACTCATTCCCCTCGTGCAGGAGCTAGAAAGTTGAGGGTCTGAGAAGTCGACGAGGTGGCTTTTTGGGTTACCGAAATCAGAGAAGTCTTCGTGCGCACAGAATTCCTCGACCTGTTCGGTTAGGTGATAGTCAGAAAATGTGAGGTGAGAAGAGTGGGGTTGATAGGTCGATTTTCACATCACGGTGATTAAAGTAAGATTTCCTCTCCAGAAAATGAAATAGAGAGGTGGGCGGATGGATGTTCGTTAGCACGAGATTAGTGCTGCAAGGAGGAGCTAAAAGAACTGCGGAGAAGAGCTAGAAGGACTGTGGAATAGAACCGATTCAGCTGCTTTGATATGGCCTCCTCAGATTCCGTTGAATGAAACTTTTCAATACCATATCAAAGCAGCCGAGGTGAGATTCTGGGCTATCGTGTTTTGAATTATTATATCTCTCAGCCGTTTCTGACTGACATTTGTGTCAACTAAGCGCATAAATATTGGAAGTAGTTTCGGGGCAATTTTTTCTCTGTGCTTGCTGATATTCATGATAACACCTTCGCTATTACAACGGATGTTTACTGTGCAAGCAGTGTTGAAAGCCAAGGGTGCCCCCAAGAGGCCCGTCGCGCGGCGAAGGAAGAGACGCAGACGCGGCAAAGGACGAGTCGCAGCGCATACTGTAGCGGTTAGGCGTCAGGTTAAATAGAGTGTACCATACTACGTCTCATATCGCACGCACGCAAAGTCAAAGAATAATCATTATTGATGAGTCCTACCAAACGAGCAAACGAGAAACAGACCAGAAAACGACAAACTAGCCACTAAAAATGGCATACTATGACAACATTTTATTTCCTTCACAAGACTTACCAAATTCTAGTACTACACAGATTGTGGTTCTCAATTTGCACGTAGCCCTTCAGTTGAAAGAAGCTTTTTAACCGCCTTCGCCAGCTGTGTGTTGACTGGACTTTGGCGTTGACCGTGGAGCAGCTTATTTACTATTGAAATTTGAACAAATATTCAAATGATTATAACTTTCTTCAAATATGACGAATTTTCAATCTGAAAGCAGATTTGGGAGTTTTGTGAAGAGCTTTTTCTAATCAGTATAAAATGTATAACTACGAAGTTATGGCTGAGACCTAAATACCATATTTCAATTAACGAGGAAAATTTGGACAATTAGGACAAATGACTTAGTGGCTGGCAAAGTTGGTTCATATGATATCTGTCCCTTCAAAATAGATAAGTAAGTACGTACCCTTCGATATTTCTCCAAGTCATGCAGTACAGTACGATCACAGTGCTCGAACACCAGATGCAACTTCCGATTCCGCTTGAAGACTTCCAGCAACGAGACAAGATTCGGATGTTTTAGTTGCTGCAACACATTACACTAGTGAAAGCACTCTTGCTTGGTAAGCGAGATATGCAGCCTGCACTTGCAGGCGGTCTGCATATTTCGCTAATTCTGCAATTTTCAAATAGTAACCCTTGAAAGCTAAACTTACCTTCTTGCAGATCGTATTTCTCTCAAACGATTTGCTTTTATCTCGGGGATCTCCTCGGTTTTCGAAAAATTTCTTGATCGCAACGATCTGAAGAGCATATGTGAACAATGTTCTCATACAGAGCAAGCCTATCACAGCTAGTAGTGGCACAGTGAAACAATAAGATTCAAACGAAAAAGTACATAGAACCTTCTGAAGCATCCAACAATAAGTCACCAATATCTTATTTTTCAGCTCTATAGATCTCAGAAGGTAGGACCGCATCTTTTATCTCAGAAGCCCAATAACATCCAAGTGGGTCAGCTAAGCGATTTCACCTTCAAGTTGAAGGTACGGCGAATTACTGATGGATTAATGACCGATTCGCCAGTCCACATTTTCTGTATCTTCCTTTTCGCATTTTTCCTATTCAACTTCTTCAACTGAGGAATTCAACCTCACCATTCCATTATCTCTGTTCCGACATTTGTAGACGACGCCGTACGATCCTTCACCGATTTTACCGAGTTTCTCATACTTTCGCGAGCGTTTCGCACTTTCGCCTCGTACAATAGGAAGGGAAAAAAGTTGTTATTTTGGTAGCGCTATTCTGACAGTGTAATTCAAGGCGCCAAGAAGCTCCATGTGGTTAATCTTCATGCGACAAAAACAGGAAAAAACAGTGAAGCTGTTGGGCACTCACCATAGCAACTTCAAAACGCCTAGCGAGTCCAGGGCCTAGTCAATTTGTGAGTTGCACAAACAATTAAAGAAAAAATGAATGAGCGAACTATTCAGGTCACAATATGAGCCGTGATAATATTAGTGAAATAGTATCAAATGTTAGTGTAATTATATGCAAACAGCATCTATTGGCAGAAGTTTTCCTATTAAGAGACGCAGTCCTACTCTGTAAAGTTTCTAAGTAAAGCGTGAGTGACAGTGACAATTAGCTTGGGCATGCTCGTATGGAACAATACAGTAGCGGTCAAAAGTTTGGAAACTTTTTTATTTTTGATCTAGCGTAGCCAATAGACAATGAAATTGCCCCGAATTCACATATTATATTCAGAATCTAGTGTAGATTACGATGGGTAACATGATTTTTTGAAAACTGAAATCGCATTTGAAAAACGAATTTTTATAGGAAATGGCGCGTCAAAAGTTTGGAAACTTCCGAATTCTAAAGCGAATTCGGCAAAATAGCTCTCAAATCCACATGATAAATTAGTTATTTGATGAGTAGCTTTGAATTTCTATCTTAGCGTCGTTTTTATTGACATGGTATTGATTATAAAATAATTTTAGGATTTTTAAGTCGGACCTCATACACTGTGAACTAAAGCACATTGTTTGGTGGGATTCTTAACTGGAACGTGTGGTAGAGCGACATGCCACTTCTTCCATGAGATGTAGAACTCAATTAGACTTTAGATCTTGACTTGGTCGCTTTATAACAGCTCTTTTTCTTGATTTTGGAAAGCAGCAGTGAGGAGGTAGGCATGCATTGGGGTCATTTCCAGCGATAGAAAACCCATCTTTTCCGGCTAGTTCTGACTATCGAAGGGAAGCATTGTATTCTACAGACTATACTTGTACTTAGCCCAACCCACATTTCGCTGGATACCTAGAACTGGGGAATCGCCGAATGGTCGGACACATCTTCATCCATGACAATACTTCCACTATTTCTGACTGTTGGAATCTCATACTCAAAATGAGGTTCCCATTTGACAAAACACTTCACAGGGTCCACTATATTATTTCTAGGAAGATAGAAATCTCATTCGTCGCTAGAGGACAAAGTTTCACCTCTGGCTACCAGTTACACTGTTAGCGTTGAGGGCGGAAGGCCAGAATGGGCCATCTGCTCTTGACTATCCCACAACGGCTTCTTGATACGCTCCGCGTTGGGACTATCATCCGAATAGTCACAGGTCGCAGCCGATGTTAGCGTGCACTTGGACTTTCATATGATTAGGAAAAAACCAGAAAAAGTTGTCTCTTAGTTGGGAATGTTGGGGCACGGGACGTGCCAACCACCTTTCGAAGTATTTGAAGAGGACCAACTTTCTTGTGAAGATACTTTTTTGTGAATGATCATCTTCTTATGCTTACTCGACTCTAATAACGCTAGAAATTCGATAATATTGCTTCCGTAGAGACTGAACTACTAAGAATCAGTTTCAATTTCGTATTCCGGATTGTAGGGTTTAAAAAAGGACCCCCATGGAAAAACTGCTTTCTTTGCATATGAATTCATTTTGAAATTACACATTGCTCAATGGTTTAACTAAAATTAACAGAAACAAGTAAACATTGAAGAGTAGGAATCATACTGATAAGGGAAACAAAAAGTTTCCAAACTTTTGACGCGCCATTACTTGAAAAAAATCTTATTTCTCAAATATGATTATAGGTTTTTGGAAATTGTTCTTCCCGTCGTATTCTGAACTCGATTTTGTATGGAATATCTAAATTTGGGACAATTTCGTTGTGTATCGGCCGCGCTAGATCAAAAATAAAAAAGTTTCCAAACTTTTGACCGCTACTGTATGTGGACCCTACCAAGTACTAATTGATAAAAAGTACATTTTAATGCTTCGATGATCTCGATATTGCTTTCAGACTTGGATTGCGCCTATACGCTCGTGAGTCAGGAAGCTTGAAGGGTAAGAGAATTTATGCGGTGATATAAAAATGGAGATATGAGAGTGAAAATAACAGGAGCTCCACAAAGCACACGTCAAAATAACTAAGAACTTCGTGGTATGAGAAGCTTGCTACCCGCTTTGCGGACAGTATTGTGTTCGCAGCTTTGCATATAGAGAATGTGGGAAGGGGGAGGAGGGGCAGGGGGTAAATGATAAGCGCGATCATCGCGAATTGCACTAGAGGAGTTGAATCATGAGCCTGCACAGCCTTGCCCACTAATGGCTCGTTTTGCAGGGTTTTACAGATTGAGTGTCCAAGTATGCATATATCAAACCCAATGGTCGCTGGTACAACAACATCAAAAAGCTTACAATTTGAGAGGGTTTAGACCAGGTATGTAATTGGTTGAGATAGGAAGATGCCTGGGGAAGTAAAACGACGCTATTCATCTATAGAGCTTGAAGGTATTGGCTTTTATACAGCATGAAGGCAACGATAGCATGATTTGATGACGGTCACGTAGGGAAGCAGTGTGCCAAAGGATGCGGCAAAAGTCAAGTTATTTATCAGTCAAAAGGCCCTTCGCAAGACAGATGAAAAAAAAAAATGAACAGCTGAAACCATTAATAGGCATACTCAAAGTCCATCATCGATGTACATACCTTCGCAGGAGTGCGGTCGTTACAAACGCAGGCTTGTCCCTGCTTCGGATTTTAGATGATGAGAACACTTACAGAATGCCCTACATTGTGATTCTGTAGAGGTTGAAGAGGTGGTACTTTCCGAGATAATAGAAATAATGTTAATTGTAGAGCAGGGGCTATGTAGCACAACTTGCTGTACTCTCCTGTGTATGGAAGCATTATGCTTCGTTAAAAGCTAAGTCCTTCCTAGTTTGCTATGAAAGGGCGGCTTCCACCCACAGATCGACTGTTATAAGACAAGGTAGCACCACTATTCTTTGTGGAAATTAAAGGAACTCTCGCCAGAAGTGTTGAAGGCGAATTACCAGGTCGTTCGGGGAAAATCTGTTGTTAATCACACGGCTCCGTATGATAATTTATCATTTCGAGAAATTGTTAATCGTTCTGCAAATAAAATACGTCCTGAAGACATGAGTTCCTTGAAGATATTCTGCCTAACAAACTCAGCCTTACTACCGGCACAGCTGCCGAAGTATTTGGAAACTTTCCCAGGAGACTTTTGCACGTAATGGAACCTTCAGATAGTAGTATGTTAGCTATACCCACCTGTCTACAACATCACAAAACGCCAAACCAGCAATTCCTTGATCAATTTAGCCCAGGTAACCAAGAGGTTTCAACCTTTCAGCGAAAGCTGAAGGCAAGTGAAAGACGAAAAATGATGCTAAACAAGAAGTGTGCCTTCTACAGAAAGGGGCTGGGTCCCTAAAATTAAGGCATAACACATTCTTGGCTACGTCTCGGCTTTAGGTTCAGTCATGTCAGGTACAATGTGCACCGATGACTCTTACGCGCGGGCAGCGGTCGGCAAGAAGAGTTCCTTCAGGAGGTTCTTGAGTTCGAACTCTTCACTAGGGGTGACTCGTTGTCACCTCACTAGGGGAGTGTGTGTAGTAGCAGTGGCAGCTTACCACGCGAGCGGTCCGGGGATCAAATGGGTCCTGGGTCGTGAGTCGCCCGGGCCAACCAAGCCTTCCATCCCTCCGGGGTCGGTTAATTGGTACCAGACTTGACTTGTCTGGGAGGATAAAAACACTGACTTGTAACATCGGCTGGCCCCCGCAAGTCATTGTATAGGCCACATCGCATTCAAATGCCTCTACGAATGTACAAAAGGAAGTAGAATGCGTGCCGCATCCCAAAATGGGGTACGCATCACGGCAAAAATGGCTTCATCTTTTTATTCTTTATCACCTTCCCATATGGTCATGCCCCAGACAACGCATTATGTTCGTAACACTGTGCCTTAGAAGGATATCAGATCATTTGGCAGACATAAAAAACCACGAATGGGGGAGAACGGACAAACATAGGACTCTATAGGTCATTATGTTGGCCGATTTAAATCCAAGTGCCGCTGGGTGCAACATAAATGCATGACGCATACTGAGAAGGGGCATACGCGGCGTCCTCCGCGATCATGGCAGTCACAATGTGACCCGATATACCCACAAGCTACCGTTTCCGTTTTCATGAGTATGAAAATGCCGGCATACTCTGTATGATACGCAATGTACCCACGAGTAAAGCTGTCATCGCATAGATTGAGAGCGTATCAGGGGAAAAGCAGCGTTGATGACATAATTGCGATGAGACACGTCACGGATTCAAGCATTATTACTTTCCTAGAAGCATATTCGCAGTGACGACGCTTGATGAAAATGTAATAGCGTGGAACAGAGAAAGTACAGGTCGATATGTGAGTGATGAAAGTATTAGGGGCTGAACTAATTTAATGTTATAGACATTCTAATCAATACACAGTGTATAATGGGGACGTGTCTCTAACGTCATTTATATTTTGAGAGAAGTGATTACGATAACGAGGCTGCATCTGGAAGTATACTACTTATCTGCAGCACTGGGAACAGCACCCAGGTGGCCAAAAAGTGAGATGTGGCAGCAATGTCGGGCACTTTTAAGCTTCAAAGTTGGAACTCGTTACCCTCCAATACGTTTCAACACGACTAGTTTAACACCTTGACGACAGCGCGGCAACTGGGTTTGCCGCGTTTTGCATGCATTGTGGCAACTATAGTTGCCACACCCTTTACATTCAGTTTTTTCTTGAACGCGCCATTTCTTCCCAGGTTTTTGTGTTCATTTTCTAGGCCATACCACAACATAACCAAGAACCACGCGGCTTATAGAATGACCAAATATTCTTTAGTTTGGCAGAGGTTTTTCGGACCGGACGAAAAT